ACAGGTAAGGGTAGCTATAGTGTAGAGCCAATTTGGAGATAATATGTATGTTGGCTTTACATATCAAAAAATGAATAAAACTATTCATTATATTGGGCTTGGGGTAGGGGGGTAATTCAATATTCAAAAACATAATTTTAATTCATGTTCTAAAAATATATAGACCACAATTCACTTCTACAGAGATACTTCTGTTCGGGCAGTTAATTGATTTGATGATGTAAATTTTGAGCCGGGAGGGGTGAAAGGCCATGAGAAATTTACTAGAATCAATAAAAGGAATGTCTTGCATTCCCTCCTCCGCTTGTTCAGGGAGTGGCTCAATCATTTTGGCATTGTAACAACAAATCAAAATTTAAATCATTGCTGACTTCCTATTTTATATGTACTTACAGATGAACTCCTCTTACCCTGGAGGTTAAAACAGACTACCCTTTCCGGGATGTTTCAAATCGTAACTACAATAAGCACCTGGTGTCTGTAGCACCTGTATCTACATATGATGTTGTTATTCTGGTGATGTCCTTGTGCGACTGCAGTAGCTTTGTTCAAGATGAGAGAAGTCTCAAGGATCCTGTTCAAGTAAGTACTGAAGTTTTATTTCCAAATTTACAGTATTTCAGATTTGCCTTTAGCATGGGGTTGATCAGCCGAATAGAATCTGAGCCACAAACTGGAAGCCATGTAACCAACTGGAACAGAAAATGCTGTCTGGAAGATCATCCATCCCCTGGAAGAGGAGTCACCCTCATAAAGATGCAGAATCATTTGAAGACGAGCCATCCACTGGAGATGAGGCACCCACTAGAATATTAGCCAGCTCCTGGAATATGAGCCATCTACCAGATTAAGAGCCATCTGCAAAAAGTCAAGCCACTCATCTGAAGACAAGCTGCTCTCTGAAAGATGATCCATTCGCTGGAAGATGGTCCATCCGCTGGAATATGATCCTCCTGGTGGAAGATGATCCTCCTGGTGGAAGATGATCAAACTGCTGAAAGATGATCTCACTGGAGATTTGCATTCCCTCCTCTCCCTGTTATGGAAGTGTCTTGATCACGGAAGCCTTGTTGAAAAATTGAAAATTGAAACCATTGCTGAACTTTTCCTATTTTGTGTGTACTTTCAGATGCACTCCTCTTCCCCTGAAGATCAGTTTCTGTCCTTTCCTAGGGGTTTATGAGAGTAACTTCAATATGCACCATCTGCCTGCAACGCCTGTTTCTACATAGGATATTGTTATTCTGGTGATATCTGTGTGTTACTGAAGAAGCATTGCCCGGGATGGAAGATTATCTCTAGGATGTGGGGTTCAAGTAAGTACATTATTTTTATTTCCTAATGTACAATATTTCTTCCAGATTTACCTTTAGCTTGGAGGTGATCAGCCCACTAGTACCTGAGCCACACACTGGAAGCCACACACTGCAAGACAAGTCCCCCATTGGAAAGCCAAGTTCCCAGTTGAAGATGATCTATCTGGTGGAAGATGGCAACCTTGAAGATGATCCAACTGCTAGATGATGATCCACCCACTGAAAGATTATTCAACCGCTGGAAGATAATTCACCCGCTGGAAGATGAGCAACCCACTGGAAGATGAGCAACTCACTGGAAGATGAGCAACTCACTGGAAGATGAACAACCCACTGGAAGATGAACAAACGACCGGAAGATGAACAACCCACTGGAAGATGAACAACCCACTGGAAGATGAACAACACACTGGAATAAGAACAACAAACTGGAAGAAGAGCAACCAACTGGAAGAAGAGCAACCAACTGGAAGAAGAGCAACCAACTGGAAGAAGAGCAACCAACTGAAAGGAGAGCAACCAACTGGAAGAAGAGCAACCAACTGGAAGAAGAGCAACCAACTGGAAGAAGAGCAACCAACTGGAAGAAGAGCAACCAAGTGGAAGAAGAGCAACCAAGTGGAAGAAGAGCAACCACGTGGAAGAAGAGCAACCAAGTGGAAGAAGAGCAACCAAGTGGAAGAAGAGCAACCAACTGGAAGAAGAGCAACCATGCATTGGAAAATGAGTCGCCCCCTAGACTCCACTCCCTTTAAGATGAGCCTTATCACGAAGTTCCTGTCACCTAAGTTAAGTAATCTTGTTGAGTTATCTTAGTTATTTGGTTAGGTTATCTTAGGTATTCCATATGGGGTCATCTACCAGCTAGACATGTTTTCCATCTATGGTTTAGGAGCGGCAGGTTTTCTCGTTAGTGGGACACCTTCCATTTTGATTGAACCGGTGGATTTTGTTGGCCGACCCATTATTCTGGAGTGAAGGAACCTGGAATCTGCTAGGAGGCTGGATGGCTAAACATGTCTTAACACTTGATCAAGTGTTGGGAGGCCTTCCCCTGTTCATGTTTTATGTTGTCCCGATTGATTTTGAGGAATATCTAAGAAAGGCATCGTTGAGCATGGGTCATTCTGATCCATTGCATTGAGAGCTCTGGTTTACTTGGTCATACTGTTTGATGTTCCTCGTAGTACCTCCACCGTGATTCTGATGATCAGTGTCTATCAATCTCTAGATGCATGGGTTTCAGGTATCAATTCCTTGTAAGTCCCGACCAACAGTTTCCAAGTTGGATTCTTATTGTTGAGCTTGGTTCTTTGTTTTGCCTATATTCTGATGGCTGGTGAAAGCATTCTTTACTTGCGAGTCAAAATGGTGGGTCTTGCACCCACCAGGAGGAGGTATTCTGAATTTTCTTTCTTCAATGCATGCTGTGGTGCCGGCATGCATTGGGTCGTTCTGGAGGGGTATCGTTGAGCTCTGGTGAAGGTCCACTCATTTTTACTTGCTCGTATTGTAATGTTAGTAGTTAGCTATGATGGATATAGTGTGATCCAGAGATCTCGTGAGGACGCAGCAAGAGTTCACTTGGATCTGTACGGAATGGCCTTGGGGTTGATACATGTTACCTTGTACTCTTTAGGTAGGTAGACATTGCTTATCAGTGTTACAGTAAAGATACTATTGGGAATTGACAGTGGTATGGTCTTGTATTTCATCTTTTTAATGTGATGTATCCTAATTATGCATGGCCGAGGATGTCATTCTTGTTATTCTTCTTAATCTCTCTGGACAGCATACAGCATGAGCGGGGGGATGGTCACCCAATGTTTGATCTTTTGTTAAGGTGTGTTGGCTTGAAAGCTTCCTAACGGATTCTATGTTCTGACATGAAAGAATAATGGAATCCACCTGGTTTTATCAAAATGGAAGTAATGTGTGCTATATTTGGAAAATATTGTCTTCATATTTTTTTTATAAACTCATTTTCACCTGAGATTTAACATACCTTCGTATGTTAGTCTCAGTTTTCGGATACCATTCTCTTTTTTGGTGCGAGTTGGTAGATGATCTTAAGTTTCATTAAATCATCATCAATTTTTCAATTTGACTGTTTTTTTCTTGTTTTGAGGTCAGTGTTAATGCGACCATGTTTTGGTCCAATAAGCAATCAACCATCTAGGTATTTACGACCTAGAATCTGATTGATAAAGGCAACTTGGCAACTTTTTTGCAAATGATAATCCCTTGCATGCTTTGGAGTTAAGGTAGACAGTAAAATAATTTTCTCATTGCAGGTGTTTTGAAGAGGGTTAAAGACTGCTCCTTGCCTGAACTACAACTACTACTGTTGCATGCGGAAGTTACTAATAAATGAATTCTCTTTTCACAGGATCATACACCCACCAGAAGAATCAGCTATACAGTGCTGGAAGCAGTATTTTTTACCTAGTTAAGATGTATTACTATGTATACATGTACCTTACTCCATCCCTCCTAATTGATTTGAATTTTTGCAATATATTTAAATTGTAATATTAACAAGTACTACAGCATCTTTTTTGTATTTCCAGCAAAGCAGGTTCTTGGCTGCAACACAAGGAACAGTGGTTCTGTTTGCATGTGTTTGGTAATTTTCATTCTGAGACTTTGGAAACTTACCAACAAAATAGTTCTAGCTCTATTAATTTGGTCTTGATCATTTGAATACTATAATGCTAGCTTTTAAAGGAACAATTTGAAAATTTATTCAGTAATGATATGATTTTTGTTCATAGTTTTTTAGTAAACTGTACTTACTGGGCAATGATTTGATTTTTATGTCACTACAGAAGTGTTGACATAATGTTATATTCTCAAACTGATGGGTGGACGAAACTTCTTGATGGCAGTAATCAATTAGTGTTCGGCTTACTTTAACCAAGTGCATCTTTAACAAATGGCCAGTGGTGACATTTTGCATGTTCATGCATTCTCTTAAAAGTTATATGTAAATGTACTCACATCTGAAAAATGGCCATTTCAGTGAGATGGGCATATTTACTTGTTTCTTTTAAGGAAAAAAGTCAAATCATTGCTGACTTTTTTTTCTTTTTTAAGTACTTTCAGGTCATAACAATTTCTACCCTGGTTGTGGTCTTTCGAAGTGGATCAATGATTTGGATCAGTTGTTTGCAGTGTATGTATCTACAAAGCATATTGCTACTGCCTGTACTAATAGGTGTGTGCAACTAAAGAAACAACAGGAATGTTACACCCACACAGGTAAGGGTAGCTATAGTGTAGAGCCAATTTGGAGATAATATGTATGTTGGCTTTACATATCAAAAAATGAATAAAACTATTCATTATATTGGGCTTGGGGTAGGGGGGTAATTCAATATTCAAAAACATAATTTTAATTCATGTTCTAAAAATATATAGACCACAATTCACTTCTACAGAGATACTTCTGTTCGGGCAGTTAATTGATTTGATGATGTAAATTTTGAGCCGGGAGGGGTGAAAGGCCATGAGAAATTTACTAGAATCAATAAAAGGAATGTCTTGCATTCCCTCCTCCGCTTGTTCAGTGAGTGGCTCAATCATTTTGGCATTGTAACAACAAATCAAAATTTAAATCATTGCTGACTTCCTATTTTATATTACTTACAGATGAACTCCTCTTACCCTGGAGGTTAAAACAGACTACCCTTTCCGGGATGTTTCAAATCGTAACTACAATAAGCACCTGGTGTCTGTAGCACCTGTATCTACATATGATGTTGTTATTCTGGTGATGTCCTTGTGCGACTGCAGTAGCTTTGTTCAAGATGAGAGAAGTCTCAAGGATCCTGTTCAAGTAAGTACTGAAGTTTTATTTCCAAATTTACAGTATTTCAGATTTGCCTTTAGCATGGGGTTGATCAGCCGAATAGAATCTGAGCCACAAACTGGAAGCCATGTAACCAACTGGAACAGAAGATGCTGTCTGGAAGATCATCCATCCCCTGGAAGAGGAGTCACCCTCATAAAGATGCAGAATCATTTGAAGACGAGCCATCCACTGGAGATGAGGCACCCACTAGAATATTAGCCAGCTCCTGGAATATGAGCCATCTACCAGATTACGAGCCATCTGCAAAAAGTCAAGCCACTCATCTGAAGACAAGCTGCTCTCTGAAAGATGATCCATTCGCTGGAAGATGATCCATCCGCTGGAATATGATCCTCCTGGTGGAAGATGATCCTCCTGGTGGAAGATGATCAAACTGCTGAAAGATGATCTCACTGGAGATTTGCATTCCCTCCTCTCCCTGTTATGGAAGTGTCTTGATCACGGAAGCCTTGTTGAAAAATTGAAAATTGAAACCATTGCTGAACTTTTCCTATTTTGTATGTACTTTCAGATGCACTCCTCTTCCCCTGAAGATCAGTTTCTGTCCTTTCCTAAGGGTTTATGAGAGTAACTTCAATATGCACCATCTGCCTGCAACGCCTGTTTCTACATAGGATATTGTTATTCTGGTGATATCTGTGTGTTACTGAAGAAGCATTACCGGGATGGAAGATTATCTCTAGGATGTGAGGTTCAAGTAAGTACAGTATTTTTATTTCCTAATGTACAATATTTCTTCCAGATTTACCTTTAGCTTGGAGGTGATCAGCCCACTAGTACCTGAGCCACACACTGGAAGCCACACACTGCAAGACAAGTCCCCCATTGGAAAGCCAAGTTCCCAGTTGAAGATGATCTATCTGGTGGAAGATGGCAACCTTGAAGATGATCCAACTGCTAGATGATGACCCACCCACTGAAAGATTATTCAACCGCTTGAAGATGAGCAACCCACTGGAAGATGAGCAACTCACTGGAAGATGAACAACCCACTGGAAGATGAACAAACGACTGGAAGATGACCAACCCACTGGAAGATGAACAACCCACTGGAATAAGAACAACAAACTGGAAGAAGAGCAACCAACTGGAAGAAGAGCAACCAACTGGAAGAAGAGCAACCAACTGGAAGAAGAGCAACCAACTGAAAGGAGAGCAACCAACTGGAAGAAGAGCAACCAACTGGAAGAAGAGCAACCAACTGGAAGAAGAGCAACCAACTGGAAGAAGAGCAACCGTGGAAGAAGAGCAACCGAGTGGAAGAAGAGCAACCGAGTGGAAGAAGAGCAACCGAGTGGAAGAAGAGCAACCAAGTGGAAGAAGAGCAACCAAGTGGAAGAAGAGCAACCAAGTGGAAGAAGAGCAACCAACTGGAAGAAGAGTAACCAACTGGAAGAAGAGCAACCAACTGGAAGAAGAGCAACCAACTGGAAGAAGAGCAACCAACTGGAAGAAGAGCAACCAACTGGAAGAAGAGCAACCATGCATTGGAAAATGAGTCACCCCCTAGACTCCACTCCCTTTAAGATGAGCCTTATCACGAAGTTCCTGTCACCTAAGTTAAGTAATCTTGTTGAGTTATCTTAGTTATTTGGTTAGGTTATCTTAGGTATTCCATATGGGGTCATCTACCAGCTAGACATGTTTTCCATCTATGGTTTAGGAGCGGCAGGTTTTCTCGTTAGTGGGACACCTTCCATTTTGATTGAACCGGTGGATTTTGTTGGCCGACCCATTATTCTGGAGTGAAGGAACCTGGAATCTGCTAGGAGGCTGGATGGCTAAACATGTCTTAACACTTGATCAAGTGTTGGGAGGCCTTCCCCTGTTCATGTTTTATGTTGTCCCGATTGATTTTGAGGAATATCTAAGAAAGGCATCGTTGAGCATGGGTCATTCTGATCCATTGCATTGAGAGCTCTGGTTTACTTGGTCATACTGTTTGATGTTCCTCGTAGTACCTCCACCGTGATTCTGATGATCAGTGTCTATCAATCTCTAGATGCATGGGTTTCAGGTATCAATTCCTTGTAAGTCCCGACCAACAGTTTCCAAGTTGGATTCTTATTGTTGAGCTTGGTTCTTTGTTTTGCCTATATTCTGATGGCTGGTGAAAGCATTCTTTACTTGCGAGTCAAAATGGTGGGTCTTGCACCCACCAGGAGGAGGTATTCTGAATTTTCTTTCTTCAATGCATGCTGTGGTGCCGGCATGCATTGGGTCGTTCTGGAGGGGTATCGTTGAGCTCTGGTGAAGGTCCACTCATTTTTACTTGCTCGTATTGTAATGTTAGTAGTTAGCTATGACGGATATAGTGTGATCCAGAGATCTCGTGAGGACGCAGCAAGAGTTCACTTGGATCTGTACGGAATGGCCTTGGGGTTGATACATGTTACCTTGTACTCTTTAGGTAGGTAGACATTGCTTATCAGTGTTACAGTAAAGATACTATTGGGAATTGACAGTGGTATGGTCTTGTATTTCATCTTTTTAATGTGATGTATCCTAATTATGCATGGCCGAGGATGTCATTCTTGTTATTCTTCTTAATCTCTCTGGACAGCATACAGCATGAGCGGGGGGATGGTCACCCAATGTTTGATCTTTTGTTAAGGTGTGTTGGCTTGAAAGCTTCCTAACGGATTCTATGTTCTGACATGAAAGAATAATGGAATCCACCTGGTTTTATCAAAATGGAAGTAATGTGTGCTATATTTGGAAAATATTGTCTTCATATTTTTTTTATAAACTCATTTTCACCTGAGATTTAACATACCTTCATATGTTAGTCTCAGTTTTCGGATACCATTCTCTTTTTTGGTGCGAGTTGGTAGATGATCTTAAGTTTCATTAAATCATCATCAATTTTTTTAATTTGACTGTTTTTTTCTTGTTTTGAGGTCAGTGTTAATGCGACCATGTTTTGGTCCAATAAGCAATCAACCATCTAGGTATTTACGACCTAGAATCTGATTGATAAAGGCAACTTAGCAACTTTTTTGCAAATGATAATCCCTTGCATGCTTTGGAGTTAAGGTAGACAGTAAAATAATTTTCTCATTGCAGGTGTTTTGAAGAGGGTTAAAGACTGCTCCTTGCCTGAACTACAACTACTACTGTTGCATGCGGAAGTTACTAATAAATTTTTCACAGGATCTTACACCCACCAGAAGAATCAGCTATACAGTGCTAGAAGCAGTATTTTTTACCTAGTTAAGATGTATTACTATGTATACATGTACCTTACTCCATCCCTCCTAATTGATTTGAATTTTTGCAATATATTTAAATTGTAATATTAACAAGTACTACAGCATCTTTTTTGTATTTCCAGCAAAGCAGGTTCTTGGCTGCAACACAAGGAACAGTGGTTCTGTTTGCATGTGTTTGGTAATTTTCATTCTGAGACTTTGGAAACTTACCAACAAAATAGTTCTAGCTCTATTAATTTGGTCTTGATCATATGAATACTATAATGCTAGCTTTTAAAGTAACAATTTGAAAATTTATTCAGTAATGATATGATTTTTGTTCATAGTTTTTTAGTAAACTGTACTTACTGGGCAATGATTTGATTTTTATGTCACTACAGAAGTGTTGACATAATGTTATATTCTCAAACTGATGGGTGGACGAAACTTCTTGATGGCAGTAATCAATTAGTGTTCGGCTTACTGTAACCAAGTGCATCTTTAACAAATGGCCAGTGGTGACATTTTGCATGTTCATGCATTCTCTTAAAAGTTATATGTAAATGTACTCACATCTGAAAAATGGCCATTTCAGTGAGATGGGCATATTTACTTGTTTCTTTTAAGGAAAAAAGTCAAATCATTGCTGACTTTTTTTTCTTTTTTAAGTACTTTCAGGTCATAACAATTTCTACCCTGGTTGTGGTCTTTCGAAGTGGATCAATGATTTGGATCAGTTGTTTGCAGTGTATGTATCTACAAAGCATATTGCTACTGCCTGTACTAATAGGTGTGTGCAACTAAAGAAACAACAGGAATGTTACACCCACACAGGTAAGGGTAGCTATAGTGTAGAGCCAATTTGGAGATAATATGTATGTTGGCTTTACATATCAAAAAATGAATAAAACTATTCATTATATTGGGCTTGGGGTAGGGGGGTAATTCAATATTCAAAAACATAATTTTAATTCATGTTCTAAAAATATATAGACCACAATTCACTTCTACAGAGATACTTCTGTTAAGGCAGTTAGTTGATTTGATGATGTAAATCTTGAGCCGGAAGGGGTGAAAGGCCATGAGAGATTTACTATAATCAATAAAAGGAAATTTCTTGCATTCCTTCCTCCGCTTGTTCATAAGTAGCTCAATCATTTTGGCATTGTAACAACAAATCAAAATTTAAATCATTGCTGACTTCCTATTTTATATGTACTTATATTACAGATTTACCTTTAGCTTTGAGGTGATCAGCCCACTAGTACCTGAGCCAAAAACTGAAAGCCACACACTGCAAGACAAGTCACCCATTGAAAAGCCAAGTTCCCAGTTGAAGATGATCTATCTGGTGGAAGATGGCAACCTTGAAGATGATCCAACTGCTAGAAGATGATCCACCCACTGAAAGATAATTCAATCGCTGGAAGATGAGCAACCCACTGGAAAATGAGCAATCCACTGGAAGATGAGCAACCCACTAGAAGATGAGCAACCCACTGGAAGATGAGCAACCCACTGGAAGATAAGCAACTCACTGGAAGATGAGCAACTCACTGGAAAAAGAACAACCCACTGGAAAATTAACAACCCACTGGAAGATGTACAACCGACTGGAAGATGAACAACCCACTAGAAGAAGAACAACCAACTGGAAGAAGAACAACCAGCTGAAAGATGAGCAACCAACTGGAAGAAAATACACCTGCTGGAAGATGAGCAACCCATTGGAAGATGAGCAACCCACTGGAATATGAGCAACTCACTGGAAGATGAGCAACCCACTGGAGGATGAACAACCCACTGGAAGATGGGCAACCAAATGGAAGAAGAGCAACCCGATGGAAGATGAGCAACCCACTGGAAGATGTACAATCGACTGGAAGATGAACAACCCACTGGAAGATGAACAACTCACTGGAAGATGAACAACCAACTGGAAGAAGAGCAACCAACTGGAAGAAGAGCAACCAACTGGAAGAAGAGCAACCAACTGAAAGAAGAGCAACCAACTAAAGAAGAGCAACCAACTGAAGGAAGAGCAACCAACTGAAAGAAGAGCAACCAACTGGGAGGAGAGCAACCAGCTGAAAGATGAGCAAACAACTGGAAGAAAATACACCCACTGGATGATGAGCAACCCACTGGAAGATGAGCAACTCTCTGGAAGATGAGCAACCCATTGGAAGATGAACAACCCACTGGAAGAAAAGCAACTCATTGGAAGATGAGCAACTCACTGGAAAATGAACAACCCACTGGAAAATGAACAACCCACTGGAAAATGAA